AATGTACCCAGAGAGGCTAACATTTGAAGAATAGATGCTTGTAGTATCTATTAGTAAATACTGAAACATTGCTCGCTCTTGGAAAGTTCTACCTTATTTCTGATCGAAACTCCAAAACTAGTATTTCTGATCATTTAGTTTAATTCTAACCTTGTTATTTTTTTTTTTAAATAGGAAAGGTTGTGGTTTTATATAGAATGATATAGGACATATGGTATAGTCCTTATATAGGGTAATTTAACAGCCAGATATTTGGCAGTGCCTAACTAGTTATTCTTCGAGCAAAAAAAAAAAATTTTAGATAAAAATTCTCAGAAATGCAATGTAGGAAGATGGAAAATATTTATGTTTTACAGTCTGAAACCGAATGCTAAGTGTAATCTTTTGAGCCATGTGAACTTGGGAACTATTTTGTGATTTGCTTTACTTCTCTAAAAAAATGAATTTCTTTCCAATCATTTATTGAGCATCTAATATAGAGTAAGAAAAATATCTTATTTGATTCTAATACTATCTTTATGAGCTAGAAATTATTTTCCACATAATTTTTTCACTTCGCCAATATCTCCTGCTTTGTGTTATTCTCAGGAAAAAAGGTGATATAATTATAAAAATACAATGAGTTTTTCTCCTCTCTTTCCATTTCTCAGGGATTTTAGAAAAATGCAGATATTAAAATAGAAAAGACACTGGTTTTTTGTCTCTTTACTTTGGATCTGTAGAGTTACCAGGACAAAAATAAAATGGCAATAGAGGTGAACTTGGTACATTTCCTAGGATTTAGATGTACTGGAAATGTCCAGAGCCCTGCAGGCCTGTGGCCACGGATTGTATTACCGGTCATAAAACCCTAGAGCTGTGTTTCTGTACCCAGTCCCCATTTGCAGTACTAATAATGCCTTCAGCACAAGTCAATTCCAGGGAATTAGTCACTGCAGTCAGTGGGTTAAATCCCCATGAAGTAACCCTGCAGGTGACCCAGTTGCATTGACCTTAAGTATAGAATTTCAGATCAATAACTGCGGTACTTGCATTCTGAAATGTAAAACAATCTCTAGTGTTTTTGTTATCCCAATGGGTATTATCAGACAAGGGATCACTATGGCAATTGCAGGTTCTTATCATATTAATGTTTGTTTTGGGTAAAAAAAACTATTTAAAAAAGTAAATGCCTTATGTTCTCTTTTCTTGGAATATGTAATGATGACTTTCAAACATATAATGAAAATTAACAGTAATTCAAAAAGCATAAGCAGTCATTAATTGCTTATACATGAAATAAAATTTCTTCCTCAGAGGTAAAGCATTCCAGATGGATGTAAAATTCCTTTGGTCTATTCACCTTTTAACTCTGTCATAAAAGGGTAACAGATCTCTCAATTTAAAAATGTAAAGCCTCCACAAACTGGGCTTGGGGGCAGTGAGAGAGAAAAGGGAAATAATGTTATAGCTCCATGAACTGTGACATTGACTGGCATGGTGTTCTGCTAGTGTTTTAACCAAAGAACAGAAACCACTTCAACTATTTATGCCAATGGAACAAACTATCTTGATGCAAGAACTGGTTATCCTCTAATGAGGAAGCTTATAGTCAAATAAAGAAGAGAGAAGAAACCAAAAAACTAGCCATTGTAGGAAGCCACTACCAGGCTGGAAAAAGAGGAAAATCCACATCACAAGACAGAAGCTGGAAGCACAAGAGGTATGTCCACCCAAGCTGAAGCCATGGAGGAGATGGATCCTCAAGTAGAGAAGCCAACCAAGGCAGGGGGTGGGGATAAACTCATAAACTGGCTGGCCTTTTCTCCCCCCACCCATTGCTACTGACTGCTGGTGGCTTCTAAGAGCTACAGTAGAGCTGGCTAAGGTCAAGCTTCCGTCGGTAGATTGCAAAAGTGAAGTGTGAGAAGAGCCAAAGGAGCTCAGAGCCAGCATATATGGTCATCTCCCCTGTGAATTTATCTTACCTGGTTGATTGCTGGTTTATTCCTTTTGTAAAAAGCTACGAATTCATGGACAGATAGAGAGCTTCTCACTGTACAGATTTTATGAGGCAGTGAGAGATATGATAAAGCTCAGCACGCCTCTGGGACTGTATAAATATTACTATATTTAAATTTATATTTTGAATTCTTTTTTACTCAATTGGTGCACAATGGGATCAAAATACTTCCTCTAGTGTGGTTTTACTGTTGCTAAGGACCTAGGTGACTATTCTCTTACTTCTTGAGTATATTTCAATATGAATTATGACCTAGAGCTGAGTTTAGAACACAAAAACTAATTCCAAGGTTATCCCAAAATACACGGGTTAGTAAGCATATGCCTCCACCTAGCATCATACCATATTTCTCAGACATATTACCCTGTTGGTTAGTCCCTCCATTTTACGTATTACTATCTTGAGTTAGGTAAAGCAAGGTTGCTCAAATTGATTCTCCTTCCTTGAGCAATGAAGGAAATGTTGCCTTTCTCTTCACTTCTAAATGGATTTCTCAAATAAATAAGTATTTATGCGATATCTTACATTTTTATTTTATATATATTATATATTTTATATATATTATATATATACACACATACAGTGGGGCCTTGACTTACGAGTGTCCTGACTAACGAGTTTTTCGAGATTCGAGCCGCTTTGAGTTGCGAGCTAAAATTCGGGTTACGAGCCAGCTTCAGATACCCCACCGCTAGTTGGCGCAGCGAACGTCACAGTGAACGCCACAACATCAGCCCAGCATCACGTGTCTCACTCGTTCACTTTTAGATTTGACATACGAGTAATTTGAGTTATGAGCTCCGTCATGGAACTAATTAAACTCGTAAGTCAAGGCCCCACTGTATATATATATGGTTGATTTCAGAGAGGAAGGGAGGGAGAGATAGAAACATCAATGAGAGAGAATCACTGATCGGCTGCCTCCTGCACGCCCTCTACTGGGGATTGAGCCCACAACCTGGGCATGTACCTTTGACCTGAATCAAACCGGGGCGGAACCCTTCAGTTTGTAGGCTGACGCTCTATCCACTGAGAAAAACTGGCTAGGGCACGATATCTTACATTTTTAAGGATTTTCTTAAGCACCGTCACATTCGTTCTCACCATCACCTACTTTATAAGTGCTGGCAATAGCCATCGTCAGGACAGCCTGCTTCCCATCTCAACATTGCCTTGTTCTGACCATGCCAGGGTTTCTGAAATTCTGTCCAGCTTGGGCCTGAGTCATAGAATAGTACAGAGGTGGTCCTGCTCTTTCTAGAAATTCAAAGAACATACCCCCCCGCCCCCCGACCTGGGTTCTGAGGGCCTGCTTTCCATGAATCTTAAACTAAGGGAATCGCTTGCCTATTCAGGTGAACTAAGGGGACCTTCACTGATGGGTATCCTACATCACAGCCTCAAATCAGCACATGCACAAGTATGTTTCCAAATAAGATCATCTTCACTTAAAAGTATGGGTACCATGGTGTGAAATTTGTATGACTTCTTTAAATATGTCTAATTAGAGATAGGTACCCCAATGCAAGTCTCTCCAATTTCCTACCAGAACACTGTTCTATAATTGGGAACCATATTCCATGCTTGTGTGATCCAAGACAGAATATCAGAATCAGCTGTTATGGAAATGCATGCTTGTTTATTTTTCCTTTATTCCTCCTTTTAAGTTAAAAGAGCCTGGGAAATACAAAATACTGTTTTCCTCCAGAAGCAGAAGTACATGAAATGAAATGTTAGGACAGGAGATAAGAGCTCCAGCCTCACCTCAAAGCCCATAGTTAGAGCACGGCTACTATATTCAACAACAATAACAACACAATCTGAAATTGTGAGCAGGCAACAAGAGAAAGAATTTGGGAGAGAAAAGTCTGCTTTATTCCTGTTGATATCATTTTGCCACAGCTTTTTTTGTGTGAAATAATAATAATAATAAAAAAAACACAGAATAAAAGGGCATATTGAGGGGCTGTTCTCCAACATGGGCTCCCCAAGTCCCCACTCCCACTAATGGGAACACAGCATACACCGCCAGCCAAGATCAGACCTCCTAAGTAGAGCATTTTTTTTTCTTGCAGATTTTTCTTGTTTGGACTTTAATTAAGCTCCTGCTAGGCTTGCAAGCTTTTTAATTTTACCTTTCTTTCTTCTTTCATTTTCCTCCTTGAATCAGTCTACTTGCCAGGAAACTTTTTCCAAGCTGTCACAATTATAGTAAGTGTACTCTAAGAGATTACATTTAGAGATGAACTAGTAGTTGCTTCTCTAAGAACCAATAGCAGAAGTGTCCTTGCATTTGGATTTTCATTCATTCATTCATTCATTCATTATTTCTTAGTGTATGTGTTTTATGGATGAGAAAATAATAGAAAAGGAAGCTTCTCAGAGTGTACAATGATAACTGGCTAGTTGAGTGATATAACTCAACCTCCTACAAAAGTCACCAGATTAGTAGAAGAAACTTGCCATTACTTAATTTAGTACTCACACTGCTCGTAAGCAAACTGTAGCTTTTTACCCATGTTGGTGGGTGAAAGGTGAGCGAGTGAGGAGAAGGCGATGCCTCAGTCGATGATTTAACACGTCGTTATGAAATGTAATATTTAATGTACTGAGGTTCTTTTTAAAGATCCCATTTATACACAGTTATATTCATTGCAATTCTGAAAGTCTAAAGGAAGGGGTGGGGGTGCCAATGGTGACCCCTTTAAAACAGAGTCTATGAGAAGCTATTTTCATTGGAGGAGGCTTGGTGGAAAATTGGTCGCCCTAAATAGAATGCCTATTTTTTTATTAAAAAAACACACACGCAGATAATATTACAGGGCCAGAAATAAAAAATAAGCCATCAAAAATACAAACACTAAACTGAAAGGTGTGGAGCATTCATTGGGGATATTATTATCTCCGTGATTGCTATTATCGTCTCTCTTATTATTTACTTAATAATTCCACGCTGCCAGCTCACTCCGCCAACCGCGCCTGTGTGCGAGGTACTTACTGATCGCTTCCACAAACCGCTCAAAGAAGCTGAAAGGGAAGAGCGGCTCAGGCAGCTCCCGGAAAAACATCTTCAGTGCTCCGGTGACAACGTGGATGTCCTCCCACTGGCTGTCGTCCAAATTCAGCTTCTCTTCTGGGAAAACACGAGGAGAAATGGAACAACTGGTTTTAATGAAACAATTACAAGACACTAATTATTATGTTAATGTTTGCCTACTATCATCAGCAACCGTTAACAGCCTTCTGCACCTAGAGGTTTGGTGCTGTGCATTTTTTTTCTTTCTCCTTTTTTTTTTTCCGTAGGAAGGGAACATTTTCAATGGAATACCATCTGTAGGAATGCAGCTAACAAAAAAACAAGACACACAAAGAGACAGCACCATTGACACAGTATGTCAGATACATTTATTCCCATAATGCAGCAGTATGAAAATTAGCATCACAGCTCAACGTGATTCAAAGCTATTTGGGTTTGAGGCCGAGGGGCTAAGAGTTGCCAATGATGGCCGGCTCAAGGGACCGGCCTAAAGGCCTTGCTGAGCCAACAGGAGACATATGCTAAACATGGCAATAGAAAATGAGTTATTGCTTTACATGTGTTAGCCTTGCTATGTACAAGGGAATAATGGCTAACACCTCCCTCTCTCTCTCTCTCTCTCTCTCTCTCTCTCTCTCTTTTCTGAATATAAAGTCAGCAAGGAATAGAATACTGAGTGAGAGAGGATATTAATTCCTTCTTACTGCTTCAAAAATATCTTTTTTTAGTTCTCATCTCATCGAGGAAAATGTGCCCAGAAACAATATTAGACAGACCCCTGTTGGCCTACGCAGGCTATGCAAAGCTGTCAGAAATGATAACACACTAAAGACAAACCACAAGTGCTTACCAACTCCTCTCAGAAACAACGGAAATGCTTGCTTGAGAAGCCTGAGTGAGTTGAAACGTTTACATATTCAAGACAATAAATGCCAAAATGAAGTTTTTAGAGTAAATAAAGGGATGTCAGGTTATTATTTTTCCCCCCTTTTGCCCTCAATATGAAAGCCTGGAATCATTTTCACCCAAGAAGTGATAGACTAGGGTCTGAAAACGACATCCTTCCATACAGCTAAAAGGACACAGGCACAAAAGCATTGCAGCTGATCCATAGTATTTGTCTTTCCAAACATGCGACATGGGAAAGATTTTGGATTCTGGGCTTAATGAAAACTAAAGCTACTCATTTTAGACAACCTGAGGGTTCACTGAAAAGCTGAATATCCTGGCAAGAACTTAACAGGTATTTGGTCAACTGGAATTTTGTTTCTTTGCCAATGTCTTAGGCTCACATGCACATGCCCTCTTGGTATCAGTTTTTCAATGCAGAGAAGAATTTGTACGGAAATTGTAAAAAAAAAAAAAAAAAGCTGAGAATTGTCACTGTAGGGAATCTCTGCATGAGCTGTTTTGCTAATACTGTTCATGTCCTTTTAAAAATATTAGCTGAAATCCTTATCAGATCTTTTTTCTAAATGGACTATTATTTTATTATTTCCAGGGCTAGTAAGTGATGTTCCTGCTCACCAGGATGCTTGCAATGAGAAGGAATGAAGGTGGATATGTGTATTTCAGACAGGCTACTTTTTTTCTTCCTTTTCACTCTCCATTCCTACCTCACTCATAACACAATAATATGATCCACAACAAAGTCAGCAGAGGAGACCTTCCTTCTGCCCTGCAATCATTTTTGATTGATTGTATTTCAACAATTAGTCTTTTATTTGGCTACACACTATTGAAATAGGACGACAGCATCTTAGCAGGCCAGCTTTAAACAGTCAACTGTTAACAATAGCATCAAAAAGGGAGACCTGATGGGGTTTACTGTCACTTTAAAGAACAGGGTTTTCACATTGTTGAAATCTGTCAGATATTTTGAAATGTCCCTCTCACTATGGTGCCACACCCCCTGCGTGCCCTTATAATAAAATTGGTTTTACTCCTGATTAAATCATTTTCTCCCTACCCACCACCATACTTCTCATAATGGACCTGTGCGCTCTACAGCTGGTGTTCTTCCCATGGTACCAATTCTTACTTTATCTTTTAAGCACTTTGCTGCTAAGATCTCATGCAGAGTGCTTATGTTTTGTTAAGAGCTTCATTCTTAGAGAAATAGCTTAACACATGTTCTAAAAATGTTGTACAACTTATTGCTTAAAACACATTTAGAAAATGTATAAGTACTCTAGCTTTGGCACTGAACTTTAAGTGGAAACCTAAATACACACATACACATGCTCACACACACACAACTATCTCTACCAAAAATTTATCAGAAAAGTCCAACATAACATGTCATTTTGATACATAGGTTTGAGATTGTCAAAGGAAAATGTTCAGGTGAAAAAGAGAATGATTTCATGTTGAGTAAGAAAACAAGAAAAAATAATTGTGACTAAAGGCAAATGCCATTGGTATTAGTTATGCTCACATGAAATCACTTAATTCAAATGACTGTGAAAATTAGAATATTTTAATATACATTAAAAATTACCAATCAATAAATACCATTTGATTATGCCCACTTGAAATGCCATGTAATATCAATATAAACTTGTGTTGCTTAAACCTGCATTCCTACTCTAGATATCTATGTAATCTTCATTCAAAGAAAAACAACAATAATTTGTACCACTTCAACAAGTAGCTTAAAGAAATAATATGGCAAGTAGTGAAATATAATATCTAATTTTTATATTAAATTATTATAAACCAGAGGATTTTAAGGTATATTTTTCAAGGCCACTGTGACTTATCTAAGCATACAGTTTTGTCCATATTCAGACGCCTTCTCATGAATCCAACCAGTTCTCAAGACGAACTAGTGTAACTCTTTCAGTGTTAACAGGTATCATTCTAAATACATTTGTATTATTTGATAGGCATTTTCTAACAAAACTGAAACTGCTAGCAGTGATGACATCTTATACTTCTTCTCTTTCCAGAAGAGCAGGGTTCCTTAACAGTGAAGCACTGTTGACCTGAGGGTTGGATAATTCTGTGTTGTGGGGCTGTCCTGCATTCTTGGATGTTTAGTAGCATCCCTGGCCTCAGTAAGACTTGCCAGTGGTGATGATGAAAAATATTTGATCATTTAAAGTTATCCCCAGTTAAGGACCACTATAAGGAAGCCTATAAAAGCATATAGAAGTTACTCAATAAATATTGATTTATGAAGTTTACCTTAGGTAGGCAGAGAACTAGAACACTAGATACACACATATGGAAATTTCTTTAATATGACCTTAAAAGTTGCTCATTTTTATTGACAAAATCTAAATCTTTTGAGAACAAATTTATAAAACTACATTTCAGGATGATACGCTACCAAAAACAATAAACAACAATTACTTAGTGCTTACATTCTAGTAGGGACTATGCTATTCTAAGGAACTTTACATTCCGTATCTAATATAATTTTTTCAATAAGAAAGTGAGAACTATTTATATTATTATCATCATCTTTATTTCACAGGGAGGGAAAAATGAGACATGGGCAGATTAAGTAACTTTTCCATGGCTGACAAGAATGAATCCAGGATAAGGAACCAGTAAGCCCCTGCCTGAAAACCACTATGTTCAGACTTAAACTTGGCAGCAGAAGCTGAAAGGGAAAAGGTAGATAAGTAGTAACTGCAATCAGTAATAGCTATACTATTACGTCACAGATAGTGACTTTTAGATTGGTATCCTTAAATGTCTTACTTGAGGCTATGCTTTTACTATAAACGGACTCATCTTTTTTTTTGAAATAGTTTTATTGATTTTTAGATAGAGAGGAAAGGAGTGGGAGCAAGAGATAGAAACATCAATGATGAGAGAGATTCATATTAGTAGATCAGTTGCCTCCTGCATCTCGGAATTGAGCCTGCAACCTGGGCATGTGCCCTGACCAGGGATTAAACCCAGATCTCTTGGTCCATGGGACAATGCTCAATCCACTGAGCCACACCAGCCAAGCTCATCTTTTTTAGTTACCCATTTATAAAAGGAAGATATTTTATATAAAGAGATATAAAACAAATTAGCAACAAACAAACAAAAAAGAAACTGCATTAGGAAATGGGCAGAAGATGGGTCAAATTGTTAGGTGGCAATGGAGTAAAGAGGAAAGATGATAGCGTGAGAAATATTTACTGCTGGATTTACTGCTAATTTCTTAGATATTTGTTTATTTGTAAAATGAAGATAGGTAGAAGAAAAGTTGTTAGTAGGAGATGAGAAAACATATCTGAAAAACATTTGGGAAGCAGTAGGCAACAATCATGTGCAAGACACCCCCTAGGATATTAATGTGAATAAAGACCAAAAGGACAAACTATGCAAGGGATTAAGGCAATGGAAATACTGAGCCAACATCATAAACCATCCTGGTTGTTATAGAGGATTTACCTCAACATGATATAGTTGGTTATATAAAAACTTTGCAAGCTAGAGTCCAATACTGCGAGGAAGTCTGGTTTAATCAAGATACTTCACAATCCTCATTCTATTAATCCATGTTGTTTTCTCCTGACCTTCATTTAGGCTCTTTTCAATGTTTTTGGTTTAAAGCATTTAAACAAAATTGAAGGTGAGTAAAACTCCCGAATCCAAATACTATGTGAGTTTTATTAGATTACAAAAAATATACCTAAATGTTGTATCCAAACAAGGCTGTCTTGAAATGCTCTTTCTTGAAGGGACTTTTGTATATTTTATAGATTTTTTAAGTAAAAGTTATCTACAACAAGCTAAAAACAATCATATGTGAAAAAATAATTTGACAATCACTATTGGGAACAATCTTTCTTAGGAAGGAGAACTGAAAGATGGATCTTTGATAGCCACAGTAGGTTGCTGTAGTTTCTAAGGAAAAAGGCACATCTAAATATCACTAATCGATTCTTTGTTATAAAGGGTTGCCCTCCATATTATAGGATGTTTACCAGCATTCCTGGCCTCTATCCACCAGATTCTAGTAGACACTTCCTCCCCATGTGACAACTCCCTCCCTAAAATAAATTAAATGTAATAAATAAATACCACTAGTAACTTAATCACCACTTTCCCCTTATATTATACTAGAGGCCCGGTGCACAGAATTCGTG